GTAATTATCTACCATATAAGGTTTATAATTTGTTTATAAGACAGCAGGTTTGTATAAAAAATTTAGTCATGTATATATTATTTTTTTTCTATTAATATAACAATGAATAATATATTTACAAATTAAAAAAGTTGAAATTATATCGAAAAGTGGCATATATTTAGAGGGTGGAAGCATGGGTGTAAGGTTTGTGACAAATGCAATCATCATTCACACCTATATTGCAAAACATGCAAAAAAGTAGCTGATAGAATATATAGACGATGTGAATATAATCAGAATTAGTGATTTTAGTAGCCCAGATTAATATAATTATCTATATAAACAGAATAAAATGAAGTGAATTGGCAGATGATAATAACCAATGCTAAATAGGCAAGCCTGGGTCTATGACCCAATTGACCGATAAAGAATCCTGCCAATTCACTTCATTTTATTGTCAAGATAAAAATGTAATTCAAGCAGGAAAAAATAATGATATTTATCCAGACATGAATTTGTGAATGGACGGGCAGATAGATGTGTGTATATAAATCAATAAAGGTAACCTGGTGGCCGATTTCACATATATAATCAGATTTGCTTTTGCACACGTGTTTCAAGAATTTGATATAGATTAAACTAACGTAATTGTTTATACTAGTTTAAAAATTAAATAAATCATTCTTTACTGTATTACTAAAAATGCAATCTGAATTAGATTTATTAGAAAAGAAGGTTAAAGAAGTCATACTAACTAAGCTTAAGGCTAAAAATGCAGAACTTATAGTCAAAAAAGCTAATATTGAAGCTAAAAATGCAGAATATATAAAGCTTAAGGATGAGACTGCAAAGCTTAAGACCAAGAATACCAAACTTTTAACACAAATTATAGAGAAATATGCTAAAAATAAGGCTGATAGAGTAAAATTAAAAACTGGTTTGCAGTATTCAATCCTCTTTGAGTGTATTAAGATGACAATTCTTGAACTTGAAGCAAGAAATGCAATATTAAGACCAATTATAGAAGAATTTGTGAAGAAATTGGAATATAGCCACCTCATAACTGTCTTTGACAAGAAAAATCGCAAATTCCAAGCTAAATATGTCAAAATAGCTATGGATATTCTTAACGAAAAACCAATAATTGAATATCATCCTCCTTTTTTAAACGGATTGAAACTTGATGCCTTCTTTCAAAAATATCAAATCATATTGGAGGTGTAAGAAAGTCAACATCGGCTTCATAGCACTAGCTGGTATAAGGATATCAAAAGATTTGAGGATATTGTTGATCATAATTGGAAGAAAAGATGCCTTTGTCAGCTTAATGGAATTTTCCTACTTGAATTGTGATATGATGAAAATCTGGAAAAGGTCATTCTGGAAAGAATACAAAAAATTAAAGACTTCGTTAATCAAGCGTTTAAAGTTTTTGATCTATAATCAATTCATAATATATAACTTAATATCTATGTATTTAATATACATGCATATCTTATATATGTAATTTTTTTCGTTACTTAATCTATTAGCATCTGTTAACTTTAATATATGATTTTTCATTTCAGCATAAAAATGCATAGGGCCTAAAGCATTCAAGAATTTTTGCTTCTCCGATTTATCTTTTTCTGAACAATGTGAAGAAAAAGGCCTATCATGTTCGAAGCCAAATCTGATTCAGAGTTAATTACCAAATCCGTGTTAGCGTTAGAGCATTTCACATACTTGAAATTCCGAAATAGTTTTAGAGGGATTGATAACTATAATTTTGTATCTGCTCAGCCGTGGAATTCGCCATGCCTGATTTGCGATGGAAAACATGGGAATTATAGATTGCATGGCGAATGGTATAGAAATGGAACAGAATATTGTCTTACCTGCAACAGTTCAAGCAATAAATTCAAGTTCGCGATCATAGTATAGTTCGGTCATATGAGATAAATCATCACAGAGATATTCGGTAAAAGTTCTTGCCAAAGGTCTTTTTCTACTAAATTTATTTTTAAACCTGATAATATTGAATAGAGATAAGTCGCTTACTGCGCAAGAATTACTGCGCCCCAACGGAAATAATAACTTGTGTGACCGCTCATCGAATAAATAAACCCATATTAATCATATTGTAGCACAAACCTCGGTTATCACCACGCTTTTATTTTTTCCCATGCTCGTCAGATACATCAGGGCGACCGTGCTTCTCAGGAGAGCCAAACTACAAACATGGCAGTCGCTTATACATGACGGTTGTGCACCGCAGGCTCGCCACACCTATACCTACTCAGATACCAAGGATGCCCTGAAAACCGGAGTAAGAAACGTAAAAGAGAGTATAAAAGAGGGCGTAAAAACGGATTTTGTATTGTACCTTTTTGTTCTTGTGATCAATATGTTCTTTTTCGGTCTGCAGACGGTGTGTTCTGACTTACAACCTGGCAATGTTAGTCCGCTTGGAAGATTATAAAGTGGATCGCCACTGGGATTGTTACCAGCGCTGGCTTAGTATTATTCGATCTCAGCTTCGCCAACTGGTACAACCGCCGGAATGAGAAGATTATTCTTCATGCCTTTGAACATGGTTCCTGTCCAGAACCTGATGTTATGCAGAAACAGCTGATTTACCGTGAGGTTGTTATCAAGAAACTGAGACGAATTCTAGAGCCGATCTCTGACCATAGCTCTTACCACGTCGTTGTCGGGAACCACGGAACTGGTAAGACCACAGTGGTCCGGCAGTGTGCTAGAGATGTTGGAAAAGGGGTCATTTATGTTGATGTACCCCCTGTATTGGATAACTTCATTGATAAACTTGCAAAGGCTATTGGATATTCATTCAAGGAGTATGTGTCCTTCACTGAATCATTTAAGCGGAAGATTCTAGGCAATAGCGAGTCCGGTAGGGTTATTATAAAGAATTATTACTGGTGTTTGCTCTACTCACTTCTTGTTTTATAGCTGAACAGCCCAGGTTTTTTCGTGTCCTGGATGCCTTCGAGAGAGGAGCTAGAAAATACAAGGTAAATAATAGCAAACCTCCAGTGTTGATCCTCGACAACATAAGTAAGCTGGGCCAGAACATGTTGAAGGATTTGCAGGATATCGCAAAACTCTATGCTGACCAGAGCAGTTGCATCATTGTATTTGTCAGTAGCGAGGGAACAGCGCCACGCATGATGATGCGTGAGTATTGTATGATATAATTTGTCTGTATCTCGTTTCTTGTTGATGGTTTCTTTGCTCTACTCTAGAACGATCATCATGGTCACGCGCTGAAAAAAAACCCATTGTCATCGAAGACCTAACTAGCAAAGAGGCATTCACCTACCTCCACAGCAAGCTTGGCATTGAGAAAAAGGTCACCAATCAACTCATCCAACTCTTAGGTGGCCGGATTCGTGATCTTAAGGAATATGGTAATATGATAAATAGAGGCGAGACATTCGAAGGTGAGAGAGCATTTACTATCTGGACAATGATGATAGTATTTTGCAAGAATGTTGT